AAATGTTCGAACGTGGGATTTTCTCGAAAAATGAACTTTGAAAAATGGTTTAGGGCTTGTTAGAAAGAGCAAATCCTGCTCTTTCACCCCATGGAAAGAGGGAAACACAGCAATCAAAATGAAGTGAGTTATAGTCGCTGAAAGCTTAAAAACTCGGTTTTGCACGGGAACTGTTCGAACGGGGCAAATTTTTGAAAAAGGGGACAATCACTTAACTTTTTATAATCTTTTGTTAGAGAAATATTTGAAGTTTCTAAAACTTTTCACAAATTTCCAAGATGTCGCATACGAAAGATTTTATGGAGCTCTCAAAGTTGGAGGTGCGCCTTCTCAGAATTTTGGGTTTTCCGCTTCTGACAGAAATACTTTTGGGAGAGTTAGGTCATCCTTGCAATTTTCTGTAAAGCCACCTCAGGCACAGTTTAAATCTACCTCAATAAGTGAAACAAATACGTCTCAAGAAAGTTACACTCTCCTAAAATTTTTTCTTCGCCGCGTCCCAGTTTTCCAGCGTCCGGGTGATACCTGCCGCGCTCCAAGGTTGACGCCGCAACGCAAACGCTTTCTGCGGCGGCGGCGCGGACGCTTTCTGACGCAATCAAATCAGTCCTACTCTTACAATCAGTTTTCTTTTTTCACTTTGAACACAACACCTTTTCATTCAGTGTAGAGTTATTTTTGTAATCTTGAGGGTCGGAGTATGGAGAGTCAGTTTGACTGTTTAGACGGGATCGAGAACATTTGAATTGAATTTTTTTTTCAAAAAATCATTGAATTTTTGAAAAAAATTCAATGATTTTTTGAAAAGAATTCAATTCAAATGCCAGTGAAGAATTCAATATTCAAATGTTTTGTTCTATGTCATGGAAGTTCATTGTCTTTAAAAGGTTTTAGTTCACTGTCTTTGAAGTAAAATGAGTGAAATAAATATTTCACTTAACATTTAGTCAGCACATTCGGCACTTCCATTACCTAAGAGGGGGTCGCAACTGGACCCCCTTGAGATAAGGGGGTGACCCCCTTGAGAAAAGGGGGTCGCAAAAACCCTGAAAATGTTCGAACGTGACGGTTGACCCTGGGCCAAAGCCACGCGAGGACTTGCTCTGTATTTTCTATATTCTGCGGCATGGAGCTGCCAATTCTCCATGAGCTCCGCGTGCGCCGCTTGTGCTCCGCCCCCATTAGTGGGTTGCTATCAGCATCATTGTGCTTATCATTTAGATGAGATATTTTACTTCGGGGCGGAAGCGGTGTAGTGACAAGTGGCGCGCTTACCACGCGAGCGGTCCGGGATCAAATCCTGGGTCGTGAGTCGCCCGGGCCAACCAAGCCTTCCATCCCTCCGGGGTCGGTTAATTGGTACCAGACTTGTCTGGGAGGATAAAAACACTGACTTGTACATCGGCTGGCCCCCGCAAGTCATTGTATAGGCCACATCGCATTCAAACGCCACTACGAATGTACAAATGGAAGTAGAATGCGTGCCGCATCCCAAAAAGGGATTGATCAACGGCAAATGCTTTATCCTTTTTTTACCTCGAGGTGTATCGTTATGTTATTTCATTTAATGAGTTATTCGCTCAAGCACTATCTCGCTAGATAAGCGCCGCTATGCATGTTTAACATGTACAAACAGTGCGCGCCACGAATGCACCGGGCCGCTTCCGCTGCTCCAACCTCCTTATGAAATTAAACGGGGGACTGATCAAAGACGGCACAGACTGGCAAACGAACCTTCTAGATTGGAATCTGACTAAGCTACGTCACTATTCGCAGAATAGGGTCAAAACGAGGCGCCAGAGAAAACGAGGCATCCAAATTTTTAGCAGGGGATTCTTGGAAGATTCAAATTATTGCCTTTGTTATTCGACCGGCATATATATCAGCATCTCACAATATTCCACTACGGAGGCCACACCAAAAAAAAACCGAATATTTATCGATTATCACTCGCTTATAACCAATAACGGACGGCACTGTTGCGCCACGAATGGTGGTAGCACGGGACGTAACTTTCTTGTTTGATTTATTGAAATGTTTATAGCAATATCAAACTAATACCCGAATATTATATACTCATCACGAATGAGGAAAATAACATATACACTGTCCAGGACCTTGACCGGACGACAACCCTACAATAAATTTTACATACAATTTTTGATTCCATTAACATTACTACATAGTTTGCATAAAATTGGCGCAAGTGGGTGGCCATTACCATTGGTTCACACGTCCCGAGACCTACTTCCACTTGAAATGTAGGCAATCCCTTGCTCAGGGAGTTGTTGGCTTTCGCATTTTTACACGCGAATATAGAGACAACTACGAGCGTTCCATAATTCATATACCCTTAAATGCGACACACCTTACTTTCACAGAAGCGCAAAGAAATGGATTAACCGAACCCATAGTTCATCCTACACGGAAAATCTCTATACTTCAGGATGATAAGACACGAGACAACCTACATACTAAGACCCGTTGTTACCCCATGCTGATCGCCATAAGCCTAAATAAAACCCTGTTAATTAATAACTACAACCAAATACCCAGACCAAAACCGCCGCGACGAGGTGGCGAGCAGTGGCGCACGCATTTGGTGCGGGCGCGCAAGCGCCTCAGACATACCACTGGCCATTCCTAATTATGGGCGTTTAGGGAAAGCCTATGAGTCCGACCCGTCACGTCACCACCCAATCAAAACACATATAGGTGTCCTCCAGTACGAGAGCGGCGCTTTCTCCTCACGTCATCCCATACCTTCACCACGATGGCTGTTTGTATAATATCTGATTCTGAGATTAGTCGACACATTTTCTCTCCATTTACTTTTTACTCCATACGCAAAGCTAATTTCACCTATTTCACACAACCCTTTTCTGAAACTTTCGCTTAACTCGGTGAAAAATTCGTCAGGCGAAACCCTATCTGTTCTTCCATCGCAAATGACCCTCCCCTCCTTCCTTCCATCGTTTTCACGAGCTCAAATATCACCATTCTACAGGTGGCATACTGTCAAAGTATCTAGAAGTGTGGAAAAGTCAGAGCTGTGCTCAGCACTGACCACTATATACTGCAGTGAACCTTTGTGAAATTATTAATGAATAGCTAATTAAGGGCCTTCCTGAATCGATGGGAAACGTATCGAAATACGATTTACCACATACCAGAGCTTGGAGGCGATCCAGACTTCTGTGGAGTAAGAATGATTACAGTTGTTTATTTTTGGATACTTATGGGTTATGTTTTAGTGAGCAGCACGCTTGCATTCGTTTATGTTCATTTGAAAGCTGTAAAACTGGACGTATTCCTAACATAAGTCAGAAAAGCTCACTAAAACCTATCCTCCAAAAGTGTAAACCAAAACGCGCATAGGATTTATCATTTCCTACCTTCCATCATTGTGTACGTGTGTGTCATTAGGCACAGTCGCTGTCAACGTGGCAGTACAAAAGCACCATTGCACTGCGGTTCAATGACCTATCTTCGTCGCGCGCAGCACTGCGGGCGTGACGAACGTGTGTACTGCTTGCAGTCGCCGGCGCTACAACCGGGACCCGTCCCAGGGCCGAAGCACCCAGATCGTGTGAATGTTCGAGTGCATATTTCACCGTTAAAATGTCCTGTGTGACCTGGTACATAGATGTTCGTTGCGGTGATTGTATTCTGCCGCAACTGTCTACTACCTTAGGCCGATGTCAGACTTTGCGAATCGCGCGATTCGCTAGCGTCTGCGGTCGCGTCGCGGCCAGTGAATCACTCAATTGGCTGGTACCGCAACGCGACCGCGGACGCTAGCGAATCGCGCGATTCGCAAAGTCTGACATCGGCCTACAGAGGCTAGAGCGACAGTAACGTAGGTGAGGGTTTCGACAGTAAGAAATGGGTCAGCTGTGTTATCTACTCCATAAGGGATGATGCAAGGTAAAAGTATTAAGTCGGTCAAAAAGACTGCACCGTTTTAAGACCCTAACTTTGAAATACCACAATTACAGCTGAAAACAACAATTTGGTTTGAAATGAAAATACTATTTCACAAGAATGCTGGGTTGTGAACAAAACTTTCGCCCCAGGCGGGACTAGAACCCGCACCTCTCGCTTTCCGGGCAAGTGCGCTACCAGTTACGCTACCGGGGCACCATTTCATCCCAACTCTCAGCCCGGAAAGCGAGAGGTGCGGGTTCTAGTCCCGCCTGGGGCGAAAGTTTTGTTCACAACCCAGCATTCTTGTGAAACATTCGCAAGGCGAACTGCGGCGCCAAAACAGCAGTTAACAAACAAAACAGGTCAAAAACTATTATGTTCACCATATTATTCTCCATCAGACCCATGCTAACAAACTTTCCTTCCGGCAGAAGTTTATTTATTGTAGGCTAAAAGCTGTAGGAAGGCGCATTTGACATGCCTCAGTTCTCAACGCGATTTCTCCTCCAAGAATTATGTTGAAAAGCGGGGAATTGGTGGTTAGAGATATACCTGGGCTATATGAAGGATGGCAGAAGAACTTCTTGAGCCATTTTTGAATGGATTTTACAGCGCGTATTTTGACGGTGGGATAGCGCACCTGAATGACTGTCTAGATAAGCATAAAATGACGTTTTCATGCATCATAACTATGGCGTTCGTGTTCTACGTATTATATTACCCTACAGGGTAAGTTTTCAGCCAGTATAGCGACACAGCTCCTTTTAACACTGTCGCATACGGCGCGGCCGCCAGGCGCCTTCGCGTCAATCGTTTGTGATGACCGCGTTCTATGTGTCAAATTGCCCCTGTAAGAGCTTCTGGACAAATTCATACTCAAAGCAAATTTTGATAGAAAATTCCAGTCCGAAATTTCTGAATTTGGGAAAGTAGAGGGGTGGTGACCTGCTGAGTTACGGTGACTGTCTGAATGGAACAAATTAAAATTAAAACTTAATGTATTGTAATAAGGTCATTTCTACCATCCCCTTTCAATATTTGCTTCATCCTTTATTGTTTACAGCCGTTCATCGATGCAGGTGTGCGTGCTTGGCTTGGGAGCTTACACTTCTGTGAAGACTCTTCAGAATTCAAATTACGCTCTCGCTTTCGGATGTGAGTACCTTTTTTTTGGCTTCATAATGGCCGGGACCGGGAAAAGAGTATATAGCTAGCAGAAAAGGTAAGATCAAATGTCTTTGTTGTGGTGGACGAGGCTGTCACAGAAGTGGGCGGAGCTAGCGACGAGATCTCAGAATTTATTCTGGCAAGAATGAGACCGGAAAAAATGGGCCGAGGTTCAAGGTTGCAATTGGTGTTGGTCGGCCTTCATATGCTGGCTCCCCGTCTTGTGAACGCTTCTGCGTGCGAAGCAGAGTTAGCCGTCTGTTCGAACTATTCAGCGAGTAGTAAATTTTTGCTTCCATCGGGGAGGGGGTCACAAACGAGGAAGGCCGTGGCGGAAATCGTGGCGATGTCGTCAGTGGTAGGTGAATGGGAGGATGATTCGCTTGCGGTTTTTTGGTTCCTTTTCATTTTCAGTGAGATTTACATTCGCAATTTCATTATCGACCGTTCTTATGCAACAAATTTGATTTGATTCGATCTGGTTCCTGAGGCAGTTAATTCAAAGACGCAGCGCACAATGAAGTGCTTCTCCAACTCGTATTTTCACCGGATAAGTCTACGTGTAAGAACGAACTCCACCTACTGAAACAATAATACTCGGCTGTTTTCGTTATAGAGTTTGAATTTTTGTCAATTCAATAATTATTTTTCCAACACGAAGCTCCCTTTAAAAACCAAGTCAAGCAGAAAAAAACGACAGGGTCAACAAAAAAGCGAATTGTATTTTCCATACGAATAAACTTGAGAGTGGGGTTTTAGTTTATTTTCATTTTCAAATTTCTATTGTTATTTTGACGCAATGTGGCTCGAGGGGGCAGCCGCCGCGCGCGGCGTTGCGGCAACAGGAAATTCGTGAGCCAGGGGGAATGTAGCCAATTCAGGGGGGTGGGGGTGAGGGCAGTCACTTAGCATGCGTGAGAAGCTGGAATGTTCCGTGAGAAGCTGGAATGTTCGAGTTACACTACATCGCTGAACCGCGCGCGGCGACTGCCCCCTCCTAGCCACATTGCGCCTTTATTTTGTTCGTTCAATTGCAAAATGTCGAACGTGTCCTTTCACTATGTTATTGTTTATTTATTTGTGCTGTTGTACAAAAGGAGACGATGAGTTATTGTGTTTCAAAAAAGGAATGGGAAACAGAGATACAATAGGAAATATTCAGGAATGAATATAATATGGGAAAAATCATTTCAAAGGCAACGAATTTAGTTAGGATGACAAGGTGATGAAGGAAGGGAAAACAAAGCATTCGAATGGCTATGGCACAGGAGAAGGATGGGAGGAGGGGTGCGAATTAAATCCTGCTGCCACTTTCGCAGCGTTTCTCGATCTCTATTCATAAGATTGGAGGGCTCGTCCAGAGAATTCATCGGAGGCGAAACTTGGCCCCTTATTTTCACTGTCCCACAAAACTCCGAGAGGGGGGTGGCGACACGTTTGTGGAACGCGTTTCTTTATACTACGTACGTTGTTTACAGTGGTGAACGCTCTTTTCTACGAGTTGAACATGGATCTCATTACGTTTTACTACTACGTCTTGGAGCAGGTATTTGATGTACTCAGGAAATCGCGGCATTGTGAAGCGCTTATATTTGCTTGCAGGCCGGTGTGTATAAAGGAAGCCAACGAAATTTTGAAAATGAATTGAAAGATATGGCCATGAACAGGGCACAGAGAAACCATCTGTCGAACCGTCTCAAAGGAGTTCGTGTAAAAACCGACAAGGCGATTGTGTACGACAGGTAAGAAGGCAGGCAAAATTTAGTCGCCACGGGGGATCGAACCCTTAACAGTACCTTATGCTTCTTTTTGGTACTGCTATAACCGTTCAGCGAAAATGAAACATGGTTTTGCGTTCCCTACATTCGAACAATATGCACAAAACCGTTTTGAAAAGACCTTGCCCTGAAAGACCTCCCTTGTAAGTTTGTTCATAACCGCTGGCTCATTGAAACCCTCGCATGACAAGGCGTGTTACTTGTGAAAAAGGTAGTCTTTTAAGCGAAATCCATAGAAGAAAAGAGAAAAGATGGTTTTCTGCCTTTTTCCTGTGCTCTGGTAAACTCATTCCAGCGAAGAAAACTCCAGTTTTGATGACCCACGATGAGGTTACTTACCCTCTCTGATTTCAGGAAACCCCGCAAAATTGTTGAAAGAGTGTGGTCGAATCCTAGTCTTATCAGTGAACAGCGTCATCTGAACCGTCGAAGTCAAACTGCTTGTTACCAAGAAAAGCGGTCTGAAGGAACAAAATACTTATTATTTTGAATGAAAATTTGCTCAACAAAGCCCAGCCTTGGCCCAGTCTTTCGTTGATTTCTCTTCTCTGGTTTCAGTCAGAACGCCTAACGAGCATGGCAGCACGCTTCGCAGGACCCTACGCTAGTTGTCCATATCAATGATTTTGCCGGATGATTTCATTTCTATCCGCTTTCTTCGTAGAGCTGACACAGGTTGAGCGTGCATGGTGATTTTGTTCGATGTAATCTTCGAGGTTATAGCTAATCCTTTTAGAGAACTTCTGCTATTTATCCTGGTGCACTCTTATTTCTATTCGTAGTGAGAATTTGGAGCACCAAGCTATGGTTTTCTTTGAGCTCCCAAAATGGCTTCGATGCTCATGGTAGAGCCATCAGGCGCGTATAAAAACAAGTCTGGCTTTCACTCGCGGAGGAAGAGGAAGCAACTCAAACCGTAACTCTAGTAGAGTTACCATACACCGGATAAGTGCTACATCGTTGCTGGTTGGATAAAAAAATTCCAACTGTAAGGAGACTTCCTGAGGGGTGTCCTATGATTTTGCAACGGCTACAAAACTAAAAAAATTGTCTAAAAATACGGAAAACTATCGGATGATCTGGTACTTGTGAGTATAGGTTTTTTATAAAGGCGGTTCTGATTCTACAGGTTGCGATGGACGACGTTTTCTAGAAGCCGAGATATTCATATTCTGGGAACTGTCCTATGATTTTGCACCGCACTATCATTGTAATTTTGAACATTCCCATTTTCTTTCCCCAGTTTCGGCTTTGTCAGTGAAAAGCCTGATAACAAGTTGTGAGCAAGCAAAACTAATTACTGTGTCTACAGGAACGGTCGGGTTTCCATGTCGGAGCGCCATGGTAAATTTGAAAAGGTTCTCGATTGCCCTCCAACTCGTTATAAAATGAATGATGGGAAGTTTATGGCCGAAGTATACCACCATTGCCGATGGCCACTTCGGTAAGTTATTTAGTAAGAACAGAATAGATAAAAAGCCTTTTATTGTTAACTGCTGTTTTTGGCCGCAGTTCGCACGCGAAAGTTATTCAAAAAATGCTGGGTTGTCCATGGACTCTTCAGGCGGGAATTGAACCCCATTGCTCGGCAAATTAGCAACCAGTTACGCCCCCAGATTGCCATTTCGCCTTAACTCAGCCTTTGTTGGTGCATTCAGCACGCCTTATCAGCTACCAGTTATTTATACTATTAAGTCGCAATGAAAGTGCGGAATTTTGCAAAGACCTGACATCGGCCGCGCATCAACCTGCAAGGGTAATTTTAACCCATTGCGGACCGCCGTTATAATTGCACCTCCGTAGGTTTTTGTCATCTCTTTTATCAGTGGCCAATAATCTATCGAAAATTTAACCAGTACGCAAATATTGATATATCCTGTGTCTGAAAAAGTAAACTGTTGATTTTGTAACTTAGCAAAATGCTGAAAAAATCGAAGATTACTATCTCCGCGTGGTGGCGTGCTGCACATGGTGCAGCACGCGGTCCGCAATGGGTTAAACTACATATAGGGATATTGAGACTCCTTCATATTCTCGAGTCTTACCTCCTGCACGGTTTTTGAGCCTGGAAAATGCCATATGTTTCTACCCATGTACGCCACTGACTTCTTTGCGAATTTTGTCTGGGACACACAGCGAGCGAAGCCTGCCGCAAAATATGCTCTGTGGAAGTAGAGGGAGTGGTAAGTGAAAAAACCTGCCAACTTTGGTTCAGAAGGTTCCGCGAAGGAAACTACAACCTCGAAGATGGACGCCCAACGAAAGTTCAATTTCGAACGTTTGGAGCTGTTACTTCAAGACTTTCCGCATGCAAGCGCCAAGGAGCTGGCAAAGGAGATGCAGTGCTTCAACATGGCCACAGGTCGTGTTCATCACATGCTGGAAAAAGTTCAAGAAACTTGGTCGATTGATCCCTCATGAGCTGACAGAGCATTGCAAGAAAAGAGGTATCGGGGTGTGCAGAGGTTTTCTTGCAAGGAGTCGCCGTTTCGACTGGCTGGATAATGTAATTACTGGAGATGAAAGGTGGGGGCTCTACCTATGTCATACCAGAAGAAGACAGTGAATGGGTGCGAACCAGAAGCCAGAGCCTGTTCCAAAGCAGGAGGTTCATCCCAAGAAAGTTCCTCTGTCAGTTTGGTGGAGTGTTCGGGGAACACGTCATTACGAGATGCCAGACAATACCACCGTCGACGCTGAGGTGTACTGCTCACAACCACGAAGGCTCGCAGCTGAAGTCGCGAAACTTCGCCCGAAGCTGGACGAAGTCCTTCTTCTTCATGACAACGCGCGACCGCATGTTGCAAGGGTAACCCAGGACACATTGGCGGAACTTGGATCTGCGGTTTTACCCCATCCTCCATATTCGCCAGGTCTTGCACCTACGGATTACCACCCACTCCTTTCCCTGGCTCACTTCTCAAAGGATAAAAAGTACGACAACTGTCAACAGTTGAAAGCGGACATGGGCACTTCTTCGACTCGAAACCTGCCGAATTTTGGAGGAGAGGCACTTCCCTTGTCGACCGAGGCGGACGGGTGCGTGACTATTACAATCGTGGCAGTAAGTAGGTCGCCGCGCCAGCCGCCGCAGCCAGCAATATCGCGGCGAATTTGCAAAGAACTCAGCATCCAAGCATTGGGGAATGTAAGATTAGATCATGTTTCCCGTCATGAAACATGGAATAAGAACCACCTAACCTTTAAAATGCAGTTTCGTTTTCGCTCGCCGTTATTACATACTTATCATATCATGCTTATGTTAGAGCCTTCCTCACCGTTACTCTGTGTCTTGATACGCAATATTCTTTCCGATTGAACCAGATTATCACTCTCTGATAGAAATTCAGGAAACTGATTAATAAAGAAGTCAAATTAAATCCAAAAGGACAACCTTTACACGGTACAAAGTTTGTACTGCGAGGCTTAAATCACTGCAGGGATCTTACTGATGTCCAGCACTCTGGTGTTATCAGTCACCTAGCCAACTTATGGGCATGGATGGATAAGAAAAGGTCCACACAGAAATCGCCGCAGCAACTGCCGCACGCGACGATTCTCGCCGCGTGAGCGGCGTGACCTCATTAGCCGACGATTGTATAGTCCGTCGCCCAGAGCGGACTGTTGTAGGTACTTGTGGGAATTATTATTCGGAATAAAGTTCAATTCAAAGAAAAATATGAGTTTTTGAAATTGAGGGTCGAATCCGCCATTACTTTCGTTGCGACCTAATAATTATATCAGCAATGAAAGGAAGTTAAATTAATATCTAATAGAGCTTTCAGGCTGCCGGTTTCACTTAAAGGTAGCGGTTACGATAAATTCAAGAAGGGTTTAGTGTGACGTGGTGGTGCTCAATGGTACGCCAGCAGCGAAAAAAGCAGAAAAATCCGTCAAGAAAACGCAAAACGGGACCCCTTTTTTGGCCATTGGTTTCACTCATGAACAGGTAACAGCTAAGAAAGAGGACGTATGAACGAGTTCACCGCAACGAATTTGATGGCACCATGCCAAAGTACGCTTTAATCGAGATACTCCATTTGCGCCGCTGCTGGTCACGCAGCTCGTCCAAATCAACAAGTAAACTTGTGGGCGTAACGCTGCTGGGGGCGGAGTGCTGCGGAGGTCCTGCTCAGCAACCACAGCACCTTTCGCCGTGGAAGCGCCACACATCGCTTCCTTGGCAGCCAAGTAATTGCTCCGTGTGGCGCAGGTTCTCCCCCGATGCGAAAATTCCTTATCGTAATCGCTTCCTTTAACTAGCTCGTCACATTATGTGTGTGCTCGCTGAAGGGAAATGGTAAATGTACCATCACAAGCTTATCATGAATAAGGTGAACAGGTGCTCCAGTTTTGTAACTGGGAATACCCTCACGTGGTAAGCGAGAGACCTGGGCTTGAAACCCGCCTCGGGCGAAGAGCTTTGCCATAACTCAGCATTCTTGTATTATTAAGAAGGTCCAGGTGCTGCCTTACTTGGCTGTCAGTTCCGAGTTCCAATATTCAAGGGATATTTAACAAATCTTTATAAGTACTATATGAGTTGAATATAAAATTACGCAAATTTTAGATTAAT